CTTTTGTTAAAAACTTCCTCAAATCAGTTTCAGTTTAAACAACTTCTCCTACTCTTATAAGTTACTATTTATGAATTTGTAATCGATAAAAGTTTTGGTGGGATTGTAAGCACTTAAAAAAATTAATAGTAAGTGTGCAGAAAAAGTGGCTCTTGCAATATTGGAATGAAAACAGGAAGAGGTAGAAATTGTTTTTTAAGAAATTTTTAGTTTTCCTTTTAGAGAAAATTTATTAATATTACTTACAAGTCCCAATTGATAGCCCGCATGAGTTCGAACGCCACGTATTCCCGCTTGCTCTCTGTATTATTAAAAATTCTTTGAGGAAATAAAAAAAAATTAATAAAAATACTTCATTATGTAAAAATAATATTTATTTCAAATAAATAGTAGCAGTAGAAAACTTTGGATTGCAGCGTTAAGTTGATCACCATCCGCTAGAGTATGATTGTTCCCAGCCTGAAGCCAGTCCCAGTCCGCCGCCGTAGGAGCTGTAGCTGGGAGCGGCCACCAGCTTGTTGACGGACACCACTTGAGGCACGGACACCACCTTGCGGACGTTCACTACTTGAGGCACGTCCACGACGCGGTGAGAGTTGACCACTTTGTTGACGCGGACGAGTTTGGCAGCGGGCGCGGAGTAGCCGAGGACGGGCTCCGAGAGGCTGATGATGGGAGCGGAGTAGCCGCTGTACACGTCCGAGGAGTGGAGGCCGCTCAGGAAGCCGCGCTTCTCACGGGCCACGCCGGCGAGGGCGCACGAGAACAGGCAGCATACTACGATCTAAGAACATACGAGTATATAATATAAAGACTGTCATTATAACTTGTTGGTCATTATTTATAGTAGAGGACATAACACTCTATCAACTTACGAAGGATTTCATTTTGTTCTAGTTAACACCACAGCTGTGTCTTGAATGTCTCGTCTAGTTTTTTCTTATATTTATATACTCATAAGATGCGCCGTCTGCTGTGATGCAACTTATCCTCGAAACTCATCAAACTCACTAGAACATACGACATTTTCATTCATAATTTGAAATGAATGTTTAAATTTATAAATTTAATGTCATACAACATTTTAATGTTATTTATCACTCTAACACTAAGTCGGTGTAATTCTTTGAATAAACAAATTTAACAGATTTCATTTACTTCATTGAATCTTTTCAATCAATCTAAGAAATAGAAAGACTAATCTGAATAAGAAAAGGTTTAGGATGAATAATAGTTTCAAATTCAAAAAAATCTATAAAGTTATAATAAAGAAAATTTGTTTTTTATATTTTAAAGGACGGAAGAAAGGATAGAACGAGTGTTTCTTACAGTTGTTTTCACGATGATATATTTTAATGTTTGTGATTACAAAGTTTGTGAAACACATTGTTATGGAAATTACTCAAAGTATAATTAATCCACAGGATTTTCCCTTATTATTTACAAATAATATTTTCTGTATATGGACCTGAAGTTTAATATCAGCACATAGTTATAGTACTACAAGTTAACGATACATTCAGGCCGCCAACATTATGTTGGTAACAGTCCTTCACTCGACGTGTTGTGGGGATCTCAGTGTTGTTGTCACACATGATTGGTTTACTTTTTGTTTATGACAAAAGGACAAAAGAGCAGACAGCCTACCTGATGAAGGTAGTGCCGTCGACCATGAACATCCGCAATAAAGTTTTACGGATGCGTTCCTACTCTTGATTGGGAAAGAGGGAAAGGAAAGGGTGGGAAAAGGGAAGGTACAGGAAAGGATGGGGAAAGAGAGAGGCCAACCGATTCTCTCACTCATTGGACGAAACATAGCCTTTTAAGTTCTATGAGAGGGTGGTACTTCCCCGGTCGAGCCAGCACATGTTCGAGCTGCAGTAATTTCACCACAGCTAGGGTCTACTTCTTTTTATATTTTATATGCTATGGGAAACTTTGATGACGGTGGTTGACGCGAGAACTGCTTGCAGCTTATAATTTGGCGATTAATTCAATATTTATAATCAAAATATTCATAATTATTATTTGTTCAATCAACATTCATAATAATATCGCAGTAACCGTGTCAGTGAACTTCTAAATTCATCTTTTATAATTCTATTACTTCTCGTTCTTAACACACTTATTTCAAGCGGTGTAAGGTGATCTGCTTTATATTTGTGTTCCGTAACTCAAATTTCCTTAGAATTAGTAAATATTTTATTTGTAATAGTTTTCTATTTATTTTAATGTATCCTATCTTTTGTTTTTAAAATGGCTTGGTTCAGTTGTGGTTGGATATTAAGGTTTCCATTTTTATTTGTACGGAAAAACCAATACTGGTTTATGAGACACTGAAAACTTAGATATAAATGTAAAAAATACCAACATAATTGTAATAAATAAATAAAATAATTTATTTATAATGAACAAGTTTCTCGGTTTTTCAGAATGATAAGTAATCATCATAATAACAACAGTGTAAACATTCCTTCAATATAATTTTTGATAAAGAAGAAGAAAGGACAGTTTACCTTAAAAGGGATGAAGAATTTATAAGAATATATAAAGATTCTTTTTTTGTTACAGAAGTATGAACGAACAATGTTTAATATTAATTAATACCATATTAGATTATTATTTATTATTCTGAATAAATACATAATTCGAGGATGTGTTGCATCACACTGCGCTGTGACTCTTATATATGTAGTAATAGAATACTACGACACAACATTCAACAACAGACAAGACACAGACAACTAGTCAACATGAAATCCTTCGTGAGTTATCTTATTTGATGGACAATATTTTATTAGATGTAGACCTCTTGTAAGTTCCTATAATATGGAACAGCGTTTATCCTTACAATTATATTTTAATAAATAATGTACAATATCAGTTTAACGATAATTTTTAAGGATGATTATATGTCAAACAGTATAAATTTATTTTGAAATATTTTGTTCTAGATCGTAGTATGCTGCCTGTTCTCGTGCGCCCTCGCCGGCGTGGCCCGTGAGAAGCGCGGCTTCCTGAGCGGCCTCCACTCCTCGGACGTGTACGGCGGCTACTCCGCTCCCATCATCAGCCTCTCGGAGCCCGTCCTCGGCTACTCCGCGCCCGCTGCCAAACTCGTCCGCGTCAACAAAGTGGTCAACTCTCACCGCGTCGTGGACGTGCCTCAAGTAGTGAACGTGCGCAAGGTGGTGTCCGTGCCTCAAGTGGTGTCCGTCAACAAGCTGGTGGCCGCTCCCAGCTACAGCTCCTACGGCGGCGGACTGGGACTGGCTTCAGGCTGGGAACAATCATACTCTAGCGGGTGGTGATCATACTACCATGACGAGAACATCTAGTCCTTACGTTTAAAAATCATTTTAAGGAAATTATAATATTATTTGTATTTATTGTAAATAAATATTTTTCTACTTAATATTTAGAAATCTTTGTATCCGTCTTAAGCCCAAGAAAAAAAAAATAACCACACTTTTTTTCTATAAAAAAAAAAATACAAAACCCGTCCATTGGATATGGAAACCGGAAATATATATAATAATTAATTATTATTATTAGACGAAACTTCTCAACATTCAATGTATTCACCGTGCTGGTGCCGGGGCCATGGTTGCAGGGAGAGGAGCTTCAACAGTGCCTGGGACTTGCGACCCAGGTGTAGATTTAAGGTGCCACTATCTTACGCGCGTTAAACGCTCACCTCCACTGTCCAAGGTTTTTTTTCTACCTAACCAAATTCGAAAAGAACCTACTAGGGCTGTCTTCAAAATACATTTCTAGAATGAATAGATATTATCCTTGGATAGGTTAAAAGTCTTTTAGTGCGTTGTAGAGAGATTTTGCCGTTATACCTCTCGCTCCCATTTCTACCGCGTACAAATTTATAACGAACCGATTCTTAGTGAGTTCTTTTAATTGTTACTTCTATACTCGCAATGAAAATAATTTATTAACTATTTTATGAAAACAAAGATCAACAAAATTTTTTGTTTTGTAGATATTTATCTTAAAAATTACTGAAAATAGCACGCCATGGGTCTCACAATTCAGATGTTAACTTATGTGAATAATTGAAAGTTGTAACTGTGAACTAAAATCAATAGAAAAAAGATATTACACTCGAAATTTTTATTGCAATTTGTTTATTAGATAACGCGATAGATAGAGGTAGAGTTAATAGGCTATTATTGGGATGGTACGTATACACAAGGATTCCTTTTCACTTACTTTTAGAAGTGAAAATACATACTTTTATTTAAGTTGATCGGTGATCAAAATACCAAAAAAGTATTATTTATTAGCTATACAAAAACTTATTAATTACTATTAGCTAGAATTATTAGCTAGAGTGTAAATAATAAATTTGGAGATAGCGCCAGCTACTCCTATATATGTTAAATATGTTCAACAAGAAATGAAATAGGTAGGGATTCAAAGCAGTAAAATTTTGACCAAAAGAAACTTAATTGTCTTTTGTACATACTACATTTGTACAACCTACTGAAAGACTCGTGCCTGTCCAGAAATAATATCAATTTATTCTTGGAACGTACTTCAAAGGCTGCCCTAGAAGTTTTTTTCTAATTTGGTTAGGTAGAGAGAGGAGCTTGGAGGGTGGAGGTGAGTGTTTAGAGTGCGTTAGATAGGGACCCATAAACTTACACCTGGGCCGCAAGTCCCAGGCACTATCGAAGTTCCTCCCCCAGTAACGCGATAGACCCGGCACTCGCACGGTGATCAATAGAATGTTGAGAAGTTTCTTCGAATAAAAATAATTAATTATTATAAATATTCCTTACTTCTATACCCAACGGACCAGTTTTGTATTTTTTTTTATCGAAAAAAAGTGTGGTTTTATTTTTTTCTTGGGCTTAAGACAGATATAAAGATTTCTAGATATTAAGTAGAAAAATATTTATTTACAATAAATACAAATAATATTATAATTTCCTTAAAATGATTTTTAAACGTAAGGACTAGATGTTCTCGTCACGGTAGTATGATCACCATCCGCTAGAGTATGAGTTGTCCCAGCCTGAAGCCAGTCCCAGTCCGCCGCCGTAGGAGCTGTAGCTGGGAGCGGCCACCAGCTTGTTGACGGACACCACTTGAGGCACGGACACCACCTTGCGCACGTTCACTACTTGAGGCACGTCCACGACGCGGTGAGAGTTGACCACTTTGTTGACGCGGACGAGTTTGGCAGCGGGCGCGGAGTAGCCGAGGACGGGCTCCGAGAGGCTGATGATGGGAGCGGAGTAGCCGCTGTACACGTCCGAGGAGTGGAGGCCGCTCAGGAAGCCGCGCTTCTCACGGGCCACGCCGGCGAGGGCGCACGAGAACAGGCAGCATACTACGATCTACAAATAATACAATCATTAGGATAAGCTATTAGAATGTGACTTTATAAAATCGTTATATTTTTGTAAGGTTTAGATATGTAGTAACTTTCAGTTTCGTACTCACAAATGATTTCATGTTGAATGTCGTTTAGCAGACGGCTGTGAGTTGAGTGATGTCTGTCTGTGTTGTTGGTGCATCTTATATATGTGTGACTGGCGGAGACTACAGTGACGTAATGTGGTCTTGAACTCACCGAACTAGAGCTTTGTATTTCTTCAAATATATTACGAGGATTTATTTTATTTAAATCGACTATATCAGATTTATGGTATCACTTTGATATAGTGGAGAAAAATCTTTATTTTCCTTTTTTTTCTTCATATTGAAAAACTTGCCTGGTAGTCGCATATGTGTTAAATAATGAACACATTCATTGTATAATATATAGATAATACCAGTATGGGTTGTAAGTTAAGCTGCATGTTACATTTAAAGGAAAGATTTCTAATCTTAATTAATAGACAATAGTTTGTAGGAAATGGATGAACGTTTATTTTGATAACATTTAACGTAGTGTAAATTACAGTAAGTATATTTGTAATTAACTCGGAAGTAGAAGCGTGGAGCTGGAAGATGAATAAATCCTTTAAGTCATTCAAGGACACTACTCCGAGAGTTTTTATGAATGACTTTCACATTTCAATTTCATATTTGATGTGATTGTAACATGATGATGGAAGTTTCAGGAACTCGGAAGGTTTTTATATCATTTTGTTACATCATTCATATAAAGCAACTGTAATGTATTACTTACATTAAAAGCAACATTAACAGAATGTATGTTAAAGATTGACACAGCGATCTATGAATAGAAATTATGACAAAACGTTTAAGTGATTATTATAAAATATAAATTCACTACAATTTATTTCATATAATTGGGAGCGAGTTTATTTCACTTGTAATAGATGGTTATTATATTAATAAACCTACCTAATATTTATTAATATAAATGTCATTTCTTATATCGTAGAGACGTAGAAGATAACAGCGATCTGTCTTATTACATAACTGAGAGTGTTCATATAGATACACCTTCTTGTCGTAAGCGACGTTTGTAATAAGATCAATTTATCACTTACTAAATAATAAACCGTCTATTAATACACTCATCAACATGAAAGAGCTATTAAAAGAAACATAAAAAGATTTGCCCCCAGTAGTTGTTACAGTTTCTTTGTGTATGTTTGTGTTTATGAAAGATTCGATTATACATATAACAATTTAATTACTGCTCTACGGTTAATGTATGTAATAAAATATTTTTTTCATTATATTATATTCCGATGGCTAAGTTTGTAACGTTATTTATGTCATATGATATTTTAGCAAACTTGCAAGGGTTCGTCTGATGAAAACTGACTGCCAGTGGGGGTGTGTTTTCACAGTACTCTCATAAGGAGTGCTGAGCTGTGTACATATGGAAAAAGTTCAAACCACCGAAATGTCCTGATTCACATTCCATTTCTCAATCTCACGCACACGTGAAACATAACACTAAATATAGTTACGGCAATAACAATGTATGGAAGTTCCATTAAGGTTTTATTTTACTAGATGAAACAATAAAGATGTCTCAGCTGTTCATTTTTTATAAAAACCTCTCCTTCGGGAATGTTTAGAGTTAGTTACTCCTCATTGTTTCATTAAACTCTAATCAATGTCAACATTGGACAGAATAAATATATTATGATGTATGGTCAAGGTGTCATCCATCAGTAATCAGTACAATGTCACACAAACTTGTTTAAGTTTGAATCTGAAGTAAAATGAGTTACGGCGATGTCCTTCACAAATAACTAACATAAGAGAAGCCGCCGCAGAACAGTCTTGTAATGTTTTGCAATTATTATTTATGTGGAAAGTACTTTAGAAGGCAAGTTTTCGTATCACTTTTTCTTGTAAGTTTTTTTATATTTATCAAACTTGACGTGTTCTTTTATGTTTAGCTAATTTTGCTTATTAAAAATGTTTAATACAGTCAAGATAAGTTGTGGAATATTATAATTAAAACAGTCACCTGTAACTTCTCTAAAACATCTTCACATGGCAACGTCCGAGGGAGCCGGTGATAGATGGCAAGTAGGAGAGCAAGAAGATAATAAACCGTCAAACCAGGAGCCGTATAGTTATAACTGTCCCAAATCATTAAGCTAAAAAGTAAAAGTTATGTTATTCCTACACTACAAATGTTAAGTCTTGAAAATGGGCATTTATTCTTCATTCAATAGAAGTATGTCGTTACAGTTCATGTATATTAGAAACAGTTTTCAATTATTATCATGTTTGATGGTATTTTTTTGAATTGTAATTAAAGAATACTTAACACTACTATACCTTAAATTTAAATAATAATTAATACTGATACATGTTTCTAAAGCACATCAATATTTCTAATATTTCTTTATTATTTTTAACTCTTGAGAAACTTAACTTATCTACAAATTTCTCATGATCTTCTTATTTTGTCTTGTATTTTTGATCATTATTATAATAGAATAATAATTCTCCGTTATGAAAAATAAATTCCAAAAAATTGTCCTATAATTTTACTACCGACCTTAGTCCCTAACTTGGCACTTACCGCTTTGAACCTGTCCCCATCTTATGTGAATATACATGTACATATGTATATGCCTTTCTTTACTAAGTAAGTCGTAAATAGTAAACATAATTATCAGGCTGTCAAGATTATTTATATACTCTTAACACAATCATAAATTAAAACTTAAATTAAAATAAACTACAGATCATCATTTCACGTTCTCTTAAATATATTCTCTAATAGTAAATATTACAACAGTAAAGTAAAGTGATACCATAAATCTGATATGATGTGAGTCGATTTAAATAAAATAAATCCTCGTAATATATTTGAAGAAATACAAAGCTCTAGTTCGGTGAGTTCAAGACCACATTACGTCACTGTAGTCTCCGCCAGTCACACATATATAAGATGCACCAATAACACGGACAGACATCACTCAACTCACAGCCGTCTGCTAAACGACATTCAACATGAAATCATTTGTGAGTACGAAACTGAAAGTTACTACATATCTAAACCTTACAAAAATATAACGATTTTATAAAGTCACATTCTAATAGCTTATCCTAATGATTGTATTACTTGTAGATCGTAGTATGCTGCCTGTTCTCGTGCGCCCTGGCCGGCGTGGCTCGTGAGAAGCGCGGCTTCCTGAGCGGCCTCCACTCCTCGGACGTGTACAGCGGCTACTCCGCTCCCATCATCAGCCTCTCGGAGCCCGTCCTCGGCTACTCCGCGCCCGCTGCCAAACTCGTCCGCGTCAACAAAGTGGTCAACTCTCACCGCGTCGTGGACGTGCCTCAAGTAGTGAACGTGCGCAAGGTGGTGTCCGTGCCTCAAGTGGTGTCCGTCAACAAGCTGGTGGCCGCTCCCAGCTACAGCTCCTACGGCGGCGGACTGGGACTGGCTTCAGGCTGGGAACAATCATACTCTAGCGGGTGGTGATCATATGTACTACCATGACGAGAACATCTAGTCTCAATTGTTTGATAATTCTGTTATTTATTTAAATAAATACTTTTATATTTATCTTAACTATTACATTGATAGTTTTAGAAATTTATATATTATATTTTTTGTTATTAGCAACTTTGAATATATGGAAGTTGTTTTGCGGCATTGACACGAAAACTCTACACACTTTAAGTATGGTCATACTGGAGGGTGTAATCGTATTTTATTACTGCACAACTTTTCAGCCTTACAGCTCTGACTCGACATATATGTGTTTGTGATTCGGTACATAAATGTTTCTAAGTTTTTAATAATATTTCGAACAAACTTATTATCTTATTATGTTTGTTGCATTCCTTGCCGTTTTTATCGTAACACATATTTCACAGATTCAAGAGTAATATTGTGGTAGTTAATATTAAAAAAATGTTTCACTATGTACTAATAAAAGCATAGCACTTTAATTTTTTTTTTGAAATGAAATTTATTGTTTCAAATAAATTAACCTTTAAAGTTTAAACTATAAAAAATTCACAAGTTAAGGTAGAAGGGCAATAGAGAAGAAAAACTAAAATTAAATATTTATATCAAAAGTGTCAGTGTGTGTTGTGTTGTGTTTCATCTTCTTAATTACAACATTATGTTTGTAATCCAACGTGATGTCTCCAGTTCCGCTTAGAAATAAATAAACATCCAGACGACAGGAACATGTTCACTTTACCAGGTCATCAATCCTCTGAGAGGAGATTATTGTGTTACTTTTTTTATGTGAAAAGGAAATAGATGGAATAAGGAAAGGGCAACCGGCTCTCTCACTCATCGGATGTGATGCAGCCATATATACACTACTTCACGCTGATTTTCTACTAGAGGGTGGTACTTCCCCGGTCAAGCCAGCCCATGTTGGAGCTATAGTAATTTGACCACAGCTAGGCTCTACCACCTAAAGATGATTTTGATTCGTAAATAATGAGAAGTAGATAGTTTATAAAAAATATGGATTATTAATTTACAGTTCAAGTAAAGTAGTTATTAATTAATGTTCCATAAAAAAAAGAATCATATAAATCATTTCACACATTTTCTTAAGAAAAAATTGGTTGTTTGTAAAGTAGGTTTACGATCGAGATGTTTACGTGATAACGTCTTATTGGTGATATAAGTTTTTGGGAAGTAAGGAATTAATGAAAATAACAATTTTTTCAAATTTTAAATTACATCTATCGTTTTCAACGAAAACTTAACCGCGCGAGAAAATCTCCATTCGTTTGTATGCCGCTAGAGTGAGAGAGACGGAAGATCGGTCCACTCACTCGAACGCTATGCCTGCCTCCGCTCGTTAGGATTCCGCGTGACAAGTTTCACGGAATGACTGGCAGCGCTCGAGATGAGACGGGAGATCGGTCCGTTTCTCTCTCGTTATACGTGCGATCGCGCTCGTGAGGTTTTGGTGTTTCACACAAGTTTCTGAACATGTCACCCGACTAAAACGATTTTAAAGACGTCATCACGTCAAAATATCATATTTTAACTACAACGTTTGTAAAGTATTGAAGTGTTCACAACAATATGATCATGATATGTCAAGTCCTTGTTTTTAGTTATTTTGTTCGTTCTCTAATTACTTCAGTCATGCTTGAACAAGACAATTACTTTTTGGGAGAGAACTGCAAGAAGACTTATTAGGAAATTTTGATTATAACCAATTTAGTCAGCCTACAACACGGGAGAGAGACAGTCAGCCGTTCGCTTATTTTATAGATTACAGTTTCAAAACTGCTCGAAGGAATTGCACGAATAATTCCTCGACCCCTTATTACCATCGAACCATTAGACACCCATCTTGCCGGTGTTAATTTTTCTTATTAACAGTCGATAGGATATCTCTTTTGTCCTTCGTAAATCTTATTATAATATCACCTTTTGATTGATTTTTTTAATAATCCATGTTAGGAAATCTGATTTTCATGTTAAGACAATATTTATTTTTTTCACTATTAAAAGATTACTGCTGTTAGTCTTGGGGCTTTGAATGTGCCACAGTAAAAGTGTGCGGACGCAGAAATCCCAACAACGACTAAGTGTGATGGTAAAATGAATATTTCTTTCATAACGTATTGATTGAAAAAAGTTTCCAGTGTCTTTGATTCTGTCACTTAAATAATTAATATTTCTTATCTATTCCGATATCGTTTTATCTATTTTCAGCTGTATATAAAGATATTGTGATATTTTCTATGGAGCAAAAGTAAGTTCTCCCGCGCTCTGACTATAAACCCTTTCTTCCCTCTGTTTATGTTTGACGATCAATACTCTTCAAGTATCAATGAATACCCTTCAATGATAATGTGTGAGTCTTGATATAAATGTAACAAGCAACTAATTAGTTTTTGCAATAAACTGAGTCATTACAACTAACATATTAAAGTCACATCCATACGTATATAGTATATACATACAAAATCAGCAATTAGTATTAGTTGAAATTTATTCATTTCTTCATTCATTCACTCATTCATTCATTCATTCATTCACTCATTCGTTCATTCATTCATTCATTCATTCATTCATTCATTTATTCATTTATTTATTTATTGGATCGCCAACAAAGTCTACACAAATACAACCATTTAAATTAATACAATTAAGATGCTATGTGCTACCTCAGTTACAGGCAACCACTTCATGCTGAAATACTAACAGAGTGCATGTAATCACAGAGTTGACATTTTGGTTCAAATACATTTTAGTTTAAATACAGTGCATGAACAACAAACAACTAGAAAGTATTAGATACTTTAATTAATTAAACATCTAATTAAGACTCGAAGGACTGCATAAAAAGATGCAAACATCTCTTACACATCTCCACACTTTGAAAATTTATCTTCCCAATGTATATTTTGTAAAGCCTCCTGAATTTTACAATAATCAGCCTTAAAAAAAATATTTCTTAACATGATTTTAGATTCTGGTGACTTACCATTACTAAAATTTATTGAAAATTGTAAAGGAGGGTGGTGACCGTCACTTACACTTAAAATATCCTAGCTCGGTGCTAAGTTGACGACAGAAACATTGCTCAAGATAAGATCAAAAATTTTAGTGTTCTTATTTGTCACGAAATTGTATTGTTTTAAATCATTAAGTACGTAAGCAATTTTTTTTCATGATATAGTATTTAAGGCGTTTGTCTGATTGTGATCAGAACGATACTGGAATGTCGAGAACAAAAAGAGTGTATTTAAATAAAAAAATATTTATTTAAAATAAATAAAATAACTCAGAACTTAATTGGAACTTTTACATTCTATCGCTGATATGATCACCACCCGCTAGAGTATGATTGGTCCCAGCCTGAAGCCAGCCCCAGTCCGCCGCCGTAGGAGCTGTAGCTGGGAGCGGCCACCAGCTTGTTGACGGACACCACTTGAGGCACGGACACCACCTTGCGCACGTTCACTACTTGAGGCACGTCCACGACGCGGTGAGAGTTGACCACTTTGTTGACGCGGACGAGTTTGGCAGCGGGCGCGGAGTAGCCGAGGACGGGCTCCGAGAGGCTGATGATGGGAGCGGAGTAGCCGCTGTACACGTCCGAGGAGTGGAGGCCGCTCAGGAAGCCGCGCTTCTCACGAGCCACGCCGGCGAGGGCGCACGAGAACAGGCAGCATACTACGATCTATAAACATACGAGTACATAATATAAAGACTTTTATTATAACTCTGTGGTCATTATTTATAGTAGTGGACATAATACTCCATCAACTTACGAAGGATTTCATTTTGTTCTAGTTAAAACCACAGCTGTGTCTTGAATGTCTCGTCTAGTTTTTTCTTGTATTTATATTAGATGCGTCGTCTGCTGTGATGCAACGTATCCTCGAAACTAATCAAACTCACTACAACATACGACATTTTCATTCATAATTATTCATATTTAATATACATATTATTATTTTCGTTTAGGCTTTCAATATATATGTAAGTATATTATATGTAATAACAATAATATAACATATGGTTTAGGTTTCATTAACCATATCTGTCACTAAGCGTCTTCATCTATTGTTTGGACTGCCCTGTCTCTGGGAGCATCTCT